TTACGATAAAATAGCCAAGAAAAGTGACGATACTCACCTAGAGGTAACAATCCTTCCGTCCCTCGGTGCTCAATCATATGAGTAGTCACGTGAATAGAGTGTGGGGTAAATATGGGTATATCGTTTAAAAATAACCTTGAGTATTTTATGTAATGCAAATATAGTGAATATTTATCAATGTAAATGAAATGCAATTTATTGAAAATTGTGATTATATATTCCTTATTAGTGTAAATGTGGAGAAATATTGTACGTGAATAATTAAACAACCCATTTGCGGGTTATTAGTTTTACCCTGTTCGTATTGTGAAATTTCCCTTCTTAGTTTCATTTTGCATGATTTTGAGAAGATGAAACCAGCTGCTATTGTCGCTGATGAAATGTTCCCCGAGGGAGCGGGACCTTATATGGATATTGAGGAGGTATTGTGAAATAGTTTATTCAAGTATTTAACCCCTCATAATATCGTAGAACTTCTCAGAGAGCAATCATGAACCTGTAGATGATATGCCATTATCAGGTCCAGCACAATGTCTTGATTAAGCTATATAGCTTTATAAAGCTATATAGCTTTATTAAGCTATTTAAAATAGGTTAATAAAGCTATTTATATGCAGTTTTTAACAAAAGCGCTTTTAGTTAGAAATAAACAAAAAGTCGCAAGTATTTGACTATTTATATATGTACTTTGGGCCATCAAAAAACAACCTAAATCATAGAAAGTTCTAACATTGCTGTTGTTGAATACTTTTAAGCAAAAGATGAATTTCCATTGTTTGGGTAACTGCACTGGTGGGAAGTGTCCTATTGAGTGCGGTGAGGCGTGGATAAGTATGATTGCTTCTCATTGTGTTCATACATGCCAACTTTTGAAAATTTTCTTGGGGGAGATTGCGCGTAACGACATTTTTAAAAGTTCCTAATTCACAGCATTTTGTCGTGAAATAACTTTTTTTAGGTTGTTTTTTTCTATAAATTATCAATCTTCTACCTTAATTATATCATATATTATTATTACTTCAAAAAGTGTTTTCTTCTCTATCAACTTAAATAAAAAGCACAAATACAATATCATTTGAACTTTTTAAAAAAACAATTTTATTCAAAATTATTTAATATGTTAATATTTAGATAAATATACCCTCTGTCTTAAAGAATGTGATACACAAAGTTAACATATTATTACATGAATAAGGATGTTAAACTTTACAAATAAACTGAACTGTTCATTGTCCCTGGGTAAATTACAAAGTTTATAAGGTTACTGTTATACAAAATATTGTTAATTTATTTTTTTTCTTATTCAGAGGGAATATTAAGAAGTCATTTTAACTTTTTCAATCAAAGTCTGCAAAAGGCTTGCGTGGTCTTTTCCTTTCTTTTTTATTTTAATCACTCTGGGCAGTCCTAATGGTTTTTACTTGCAGGCACATTTTTTCCGTGTTGGATTTTGGCAGTGTCTTTTCCATGAAGTAGATTATAATTTATTGAGGAATGCAATATTCCAAAACTTGAACACCTTTTATAACCGGTTTATACGTATAATGTCGAAGTTTGCTGTAAAGTGTGAACTCTCACAAGTTCGTCAGTTTGTATCCAGTGTCGTGTGTATTTCTAAAATTTCCACATCTGGCACAATTGTCTCGGTTAAAATACACTGTTAATGAGGTTCAGGAGCAATTAAAACCTCTTTAATGACTGGTAGCACAGTTGACACCTTGTTGATTACCTGTTATCAGCGGCAATAAACAGATATCCTACCGATAAACATTGAAACAGCAATGTTTTCTGCACACGGAAATACTGTATTATTCAAAGCGAATCGGAAAAAAATCCGGATTTTCGAAATATCGGTAGAAATGGGAGAAAAAAATTAATCGGTAGTCAAGCGGTAGACAGGGTTAAAAATCGGTAGACTCCCGAAAAAATCGGGAAAGTTGGCATGTATGTGTGTTGAACTGTTACCAATCAATTATCTTATTGGCTATAACTGACCTCCTTTATAATTTCATTCAAGAAATAACTGTGTGGTCACTCATCAATAGCCCCCCAAACTTTTAAAAATTTGAGTACAAAGTCTCTCAAGGAGACGCAATTTCGTGAGTGATTTTTACATGCACTGTATTCAGAAGAGTTCAAATTTTAATATTTCCACTGCACCAAGGTGCGACTTTTTGCACATGCTGAAAAAATAAAACATTTGAGAAAAAATTGTGATAAAATAGCTTAATCAAGCTATTCCGAATAGCTTAATAAAGCTATATAGCTAAATCAAGCTATATAGCTTAATCAAGACATTGTGCGGGACCTGATCATATGAGTAAAGAACATCCCATGATTTATATCTACTAATCTAGGCCCCTAGTTGGATATGATGATTATCCAACTTGTGTATTTTATCTTTATAAGCATTGTAATACACAACTTGATGACTCGGGGATAAAAATACACAAGTTGGATAAAATTATATTTATATACAAATCATGACAGATCATATCAAATATATCTCCCTCAACTGATTGGATTCAACCTGACAAAGACATATTCTATGAAAGACAATTGTCAAGCAGATGAAGATTCAGGATGGATTTGTATTTTAACAGTTTGAAACAAGATGTACGTGTTTGTGAAGCACTGATGCCGGGCCTTGTCACTATCAATCTAATAAGAATTAGCTGTTAATAGATCAGCGCGCATATTCGCTACACTAACATCTAACAACAGCCCATAGGGGATCATGTCATAGGTCAAATTCTATCAACCAATCAAATCATCTCCTGCAAAATCATTGTATATTTGTTGACGTAAACAAAGTAAAAAGAGATAGAGTTGTTCCGAATTTGACCTCCGATGTGACCCTCTATGGGATGTTGTTAGATGTTAGTGTAGCGAGTATGCAAGTGGATTTAACATCTAATTATGTTCCCCAAACGAAGTTGGGGAACATATTGTTTTTACTCTGTTTCTTATTAAGGTCTTCCGTTTCCAACGGAAGACCTTTCTGTTATTCTTAGGTTTCTTTTCCACAGTTTTTTTCTTTTTTTTCTTACCGATTTTGTGCACGCGAGTTCTCGGAAACGGCTTGCTCGATTTTCATGAAACTTTCAGGGCTGATGGAACATTTGAAAATCTAGAAATATATTTTTTTGTTTTGATGACGTCACTTCCGGTTCCGAGATTTTTGCATTTTAGTGAATTTTAGAGGGTTAGTTTGTCCGCGAGTTTACTCGAAAACGGCTTAAGATAGAAACTTGAGATTTTCAGTGATAATAGAGCAATAAATGTAGTTGTGCGGAACGTATTTCATATTCACTGAAATTGCTGTGTATGGAAGCTTGTTATGGCCAAAAAATAGTCCTATTGCGAATTTAAAAAAATTTGACACCTTTTCAACGATTACTTTTTACCTAGAAATATTTTGTTAAAACATGTAGAACAAAAGAAGTGTAGAATTTAAAGATCTTTCAAATGATATCTCGAAAAAAGGGATGGCCCCTAAGTTTAAGGGCCTGGAGGGGCCAAAAGCTTTCCCTTCATATCTCAAAAAGTAATGAGAATTTGTAATACGTCAAAGAAACAAAGTTGTTCAAAATGTCAAGCTTAATCTACTGATGTCGTCAAAATACGTCCAATGTCGTCACTTCTGGCCAAACCGGAAGTAGTCGAAAAACGCGTATTTTTGACGTTCTTGACAAGTTTTTGGGTAAATTATGACTCTAGGATCTTAAAAATTAATTTTCCGTCCGTCGTCGTTACTTCCGGTCAAACCGGAAGTAGTAAAAATAACTTATTTTTGCTTTAATTAACTTAGCTTTAGAGGATTCAAAGCAATTTTGGGCGTTAATTCTCATTTTTGTTAAAAATGAAAGCTACTTCCGGTAAAACAGGACGGAAGACCTACTTGTTGCTTTGCAATGAGCTTTGCTCTAGTTATTATTAAGGTCTTCCGTTTCCAACGGAAGACCTTCTACTGATTCTGATGATTAAGATTATTCTTATTATTCTTTTTTTTTTTTTCTTCCTAGACGCCAACTTTGGGGCCTCATATCTCACTCATTTCTCAATGGAATTTGCTCAAATTTTCAGACATTATAGACGGTAATAAACTCTATCAGAATGCTGTCTAACATTTCAAAAATTTACTTCCGCTTATGAGTTATTTCCCTTTAAACGAAAAATTATAGGCTTTCATTTCCAGATAAAGGCTCAAAGACCACAAAAGCTGGAGCAGAAATTTTACTGGTTTTAGATAACAGAAGGATTCAAGTTGTGCACATCGGTTTTTGTTTTTCGATTTCTGTATTCAAAATGGTGCTATATAGGGGTCAAAAATTAGAACGCCTAAAAGAGCAAAAATTAACACGTATTTTCCTTTTTATCTTGAAAACTAAAAATATTTTGTTAAGACATGTTGAACAAAAGTTGTGCATAATTGCAAGAGCTTTCATTTGATATCATTTAAAAGGGGCTGGCCCCTAAAATAAGGGATCTAGGGCGTTTGAAATTTTTTGCTTTATAACTCAAAAACGGTAAATATTTCGAAATGACTGTCGATTAAAAGTTGTGCTTTAACATCTTATTGATCTCATGAAATTGTTATTTTGTTCGAGTCTTGTTTTAAATGAGCTAGATACATGGCCCATATACGTACAGGTAATTCTTTTCACTCAGCACGTAAACGCGAGCACCTCATGCGTGTAACCATAACAAACTTACTCGTATATAATAAACATGGCTACATTGGATGCTAATATTTTTTTAGAATAAGGTTCTTGAAGTCCTTTGTGTATTTTCCCCAAATTGTCATGATTATTCACTGACAGCTTTCCCTTTTATTTCATTTTTTTAAAAATCGTATTAACCAAGTCTACTAAAAAGGGAAGAAAAGATAATCGTTTCTTCTTATCATATAAAAACAAACAATATAGTGAGAAAATAAAACATAACTATAAAGCATATACTATTCACAGCCATTAATTGCACGCCTTTTACATTCACCT